GCTGACCCGAGGGCTGACTAATCTTCAGCGAATATTGCAGGGCCGCGTGGTCGGTTCGGACCGTAAACAGCCTACCGTACAAATATGGTCTATACAACTGAACAAAATAAACTATGGCCAAAAGCTCCCTCCGGGTCACACAATATCGCTGTTCCGTCGAGGACAGAACGCGACTGCCATAGGCTACCACCCTCTCAACCCCGTCGACCACCTGGGCCAGGACAGCCCCAATTCCCGTGTCGCTGGCATCGGTATCGAGCAGGAAGGGTTTCGTAAAATCCGGGTACCCCAAGGGCGGCGCATCCGCCAAGGCCGTGCGAAGCGCCGCAAAAGCCGCCTCCTCCTCCGCGCCCCAGTGAAACCTTTGTCCTTTGGCGGAAAGGGCGTGCAGTGGCTTCGCAATTGTCGCAAAATCGCGGACAAACCGGCGATAGTACGATGCGAATCCAACGAAGCTACGCACCTCCGCGACAGATGTGGGAGTCGGCCACGTCCGGACACAAGCCGTTTTATCCGGGTCCGTGGCGACACCTGACGTGCTAACAATGTGTCCCAAATACCTCACCGATGGTTGTAGCAAGTGGCATTTCTGGGGTTTGAATTTCAAGCCAGCAGCACGCACTTTGACGAACACCGCCTCAAGGCGTTGCAAGTGCTCGCCAAACGTACGGCCAAAAACAATAACGTCATCCAAGTAGATTAGACAAGACTCCCACTGCAGCCCCGCCAAGACCATCTCCATGAGACGCTGGAAGGTGGCCGGGGCCGAATGGAGACCCATAGGAAGCCGATTGAACTCGAACAACCCCTGGGGCGTGCGGAACGCTGTTTTGGGTCTAGAGGCCTCATCCAGTGGCAATTGCCAGAAGCCGGAGAGCAAATCTAAAGTCGAAAAGAACCGCGCGCCCGAGAGGGCGTCCAAGGAATCATCCATGCGAGGCAATGGATATGCATCAGCCACCGAGATCTTGTTCAATCTACGAAAATCGACGCAGAACCGGAGACTCCCGTCCCGTTTCTTGACTAGCACAATGGGGGCACCCCAAGGGCTAGTAGATGGGGAGATGATGTCCGCCGCCAACATTTCCTCGACAGCCGAGCGGACATGATCTTTTTCCGCTGGGCTAAAGCGGTGGGAATTAAGTCGAATGGGGGCCGCGTCGCCCGTGTCTATGTGGTGGTCCAAAAGAGTAGTGCGACCCAGATCAAACTTACTTTGGCTGAACACATCGGTGAACCGTTCGATGAGGTCGCGGAGTTGCCGACGTTCCCCGAAGGACAACGAGGCATTCTCGTCGCACAACGTGGCGATCCATGATGCGTCGGGGTCCCCCGTGCGCATCACGCCCGCCACGACCCCTCCATCCGGGGCAGCGCTCTCGGGTGGAGGAGCCGGGGTTGCGTGTGCCAGGACGGCGCCGGCCGGGACTATGACCGGCAAGGGTCCCGAATTGAGGACCTGCAAAAAAAGGTCCTGGCCCCCCGACACGGCTGTCAAGGCGCCCACCAACCCCTTCGTCCTTGAAAAGTAGCTTGACGGGGACAGGAGGATACCCGTCTCCGTGGAGCCCATTTCGAGCGGTTTGCGCAACCTAAGGGGTATCAGGATTTGTGACGCCGGTGGTACGGTCACCGGCACTTTATTCAAGGCCCGTACACCGGCGACCAAGGGAGACAGGACGGTAGGTGATTGTAGGAATTGCAGCCGCCTCCCTGACGGCATTTCCACACAGCCCTGGTCAACGAGAATTCGGATGGGCATCCTAGACAAAAAGTCGGTCCCCAAGAGGCATGGCACTGCCAAGGTCCTGGAGACCAAAATCGGCCCGGCCAACTCAATCTCGTCAACCCGAACCGACGCTACAACGTGGCCCAGGATGCCCAAACTGCCGCCGTTCGCGGCGACACAAGCCCCGCGAACCGGCCTTAATGGACCCACGCTGCGGGGTAGCAGCCCAAAAATGGCCTCAGAAATAATGGTGGCCGACGCCCCCGTATCCACCAGGAGGCGAACGTGCACCCCTTGCACATATCCTGCCACCGCTGAGGAGCCGGCAGCTGCCGCCACCATCCTATGCGCAAGCGCATCCCAGTGGCGGGTCTGTCTGGGCCATTGAGGGGGTGATGACGATGGTGCACCCGACCCTTCGAGGACAACCCCATGACGATGGGCCCTAGCCCCGCTAGATGCATGAGGTGAAGGGAGCGGCCGCGCAGATGATGCGTCGCGACTCGCCTGGGGCCCCGAACCCGATGCCAAGGAGGGTCTGGGAGAAGGTGGAGTCCCTTTTCCAAAGGCCCCCGGGGCATTCCGGCAGCCCCGCTCAATGTGGCCCCGCTGACCACAGCGGAAGCAGGCCACCGTGTCCGCCTCCTGTGGACGGGAAGGTCCCGGCCGCCCCCGCTGCTCCGGACGGCGACCACCCGTCCCCCTTCCTCGACGATCGGGCATCGCCAGGGCCGCGAGGGTGTCCCCCCCGTCCGGCGCCAGGATCCCCGCACACGCCGCCATCTGAGGCCGTTGGCGGAGGGAGAGGTGCGCCTGAATGTTTTCTGCGACCGCCAAGGATGTGATCTGCCGATCATTGTTGATCGACAGAGCAATTCCTAGCTCCCTTGCCAGGTCAAGCAGCTTCCCCAAGGCCATAGAATCAAGTGCCCTGCCGTACAGGTCAGGGTATGCAGCCTGCGCCAGGGCCAGGAGCGAGCAGCGGAAGGCCAGCGGCAGTTCCCCCTCCTCCCGCCGCCGCAATGAAAACTTTAGCTGCGCGGTGGACGGCGGCTCAAAAACGTTGGCCATTTGGATATAGGCCGCCGGGAGTGTAGCCCGATTGGCCGGATGGATGGACTTGAAGGCCTGCAGAGCCCTTTCGTCCAAGCAGGTCGGAAGCGCCGGCAAGGCCTCCTCCATGGACCAGCCGACCGACATGTATGCCGCGTCGAACCGGTCCTGGAAGGCCGACCAGTCGCCCCCTTGCGCGACAAACGGCGCAACGTCGGGTAACCTGCGCTGCCATTGGCCGCGCGGCGCCGCGAGGTGTGGAAGCCAAGCGGCACCTGCGGGCCACCCAGCGGACGCGACGTGTTGCGGCGGTGGCAGCATTGCGGCTCCCGCGGGCCACGCCGAAGACGCGGAAAGGTGCGGTGGTGCTGCGGCCCCCATGGGCCACGCCGTAGGCGCAGCGAATTGTGGCTGAGTTGCGGCCCCCATGGGCCACGTCGTAGGCGCAGCGAATTGTGGCTGAGTTGCGGCCCCCATGGGCCACGCCGTAGGCGCAGCGAATTGTGGCTGAGTTGCGGCCCCCATGGGCCACGCCGTAGGCGCAGCGAATTGTGGCTGAGTTGCGGCCCCCATGGGCCACTCCGTAGGCGCAGCGAATTGTGGCTGAGTTGCGGCCCCCTTGGGCCACGCCGTAGGCGCAGCGAATTGTGGCTGAGTTGCGGCCCCCATGGGCCACGCCGTAGGCGCAGCGAATTGTGGCTGAGTTGCGGCCCCCATGGGCCACGCCGTAGACGCAGCAAAGTGTGAAGGCGCCTGCGCTTTCGCGACCCACCGGTCAGCGGCGGCGTACGAAGCCACGGCGTCGTCCCGCGACGCGGCGAGGGACCACGGCGTTGCAGCCTCAACGGGCCACGCCGAAGACGCGGCGGTGTAATTCGGGCCTGCAGCGGCCCCCGCGGCCCACCCCGCCGGCGCAGCGAGGTGCGGGACAGCGGCCGCAGCCGCGGCAACCTCTCGCGATGCGGCGAGGCACCACGGCGTTGCGGCCTCCCCGGGCCACGCCGTAGACGCGGCGGTAAAACACGGAGCCGCGGTGGCCCCCGCGGCCCTCCCCGCCGGCGCAGCGAGGTGCGGGACAGCGGCCGCAGCCGCGGCAACCTCTCGCGACGCGGCGAGGCGCCACGGCGTTGCAGCCTCCATGGGCCACGCCGAAGACGCGGCAGAATAACACGCAGCTGCGGCGTCATCCATGAGAAGGGACGCAGGCACGGCGAGGTGCAGAGCCGCGGCATCGCCGGTGTCCGGCCCCGTGAGCGCAGCGACAGGTTGAGCCGCGGCAGCACCCGCGGCCCATTCCGGCGGCACAGCGATGTACGGGGCAGCAGCAGCCGCCGCTGCCCACCCCGGCGGCCCGGCGAGGACGGCACGCGCGTACTTACCCTGGGCCCCCCCGGCGGGCGCCGCTTGATGTAGAGCCGCGTCGTCGCCGGCGGCTGGTCTCGCAGGAGCGGCGTGCCGAGAAATCCCGGCCGCGTCGGTGGAGAGACGCGGCGTCGCGGTCGCCATGGCAGCCGTAGCAGCGGCCGCATATGGCTCCCGAGCCAACATGGCCGCCGCGGATTGCGTCGCAGCCAACATGGCGGCCATTTCCGGTGGAGCGGTCGCTGGGGCCCCCCCGGCGGGTGCAGCTTGATGTAGAGCCGCGTCGTCGCCGGCGGCTGGTCTCGCAGGAGCGGCGTGCCGAGAAATCCCGGCCGCGTCGGTGGAGAGACGCGGCGTCGCGGTCGCCATGGCAGCCGTAGCAGCGGCCGCATATGGCTCCCGAGCCAACATGGCCGCCGCGGATTGAGTCGCAGCCAACATGGCGGCCATTTCCGGTGGAGCGGTCGCTGGGAAAACTGCGGCGCTTTCAACGTTGGCAGTTGACAGTTGCTCCCGTCCCGCGTGCGGGGCGGTTGGCTGCGTCCGCGCCTCCACCTTGGCCAACCTGGCTGTCAGCTGCCCCACCGCCTGCAGGAGCTGCTGCAGCAGAGCTGCGGGGACGCTCTCCGTCTCTGGCGGCGGCGGTGAGCTGGCACTCCCCGCAGCCGACTCCTCCCGCTCCGGCCCGCTCGTCTCCACGGGAACCGTCACCGGGGTCCCGGGCTCCGGGGTCACTGCTGGAGCCTCCTCTCCGCCTTCGGCGCCCTCCAAGTCATGTGCCGGTGGGTTCCTACGCCGTGCGCCCGCTTTATACATGTTGGCGACGGTGTAAACTTCTGACACCGGTTGTTGTATCGTAGACGGAGGTACTCGGAGACGGAGGTTGAGTTAGGGGCTTCCGCCAGGGTTTATTAACACTTATCACTATCCCTGGTTCCCTCTTTACCCCTTCCACTATCCCCGTTCCTCCAGTGACCCCGCTTACGTTACGGGGTCTCCCTTATATACCCTCGGAGGGGTGATGTCGCGTGCACTGCCCAGCGCGTGCGACCCCACGTCCCGTGAGGTCACCGCACCTGACAGCGCACACGACGCCACCACTCTCCACTACTCCTCTACATATGTACTGTTTACATGGTATGTGTGCTGTGTAAGTGTACTCTAATAATGTTGTTGCCTATCGATGTGCTGTGCATGTGGAGTTTTAAATGGTGTGTACTGTACGGGAAAACCTTAACCAACGTGGTTTTATTTCTTTTACTTAACTTTCGTGACTGCAGGAATTCATATTTTTTGGTTCTTTCGGTAAAGTCACGTAGATAGAAAAATAATAATAAAAAGAAAGTAAATAAAAAGAAAAAATATTAATAACCATTGCTACAGTCTACATTAAAGCCTGCCAGTACACTCAGATTAAGAACCAGGCTACAGTCTACATTAGTGTTTTTTTTATCTACGTGACTTTACCGAAATAACCAGCGAATATCAACGTGGTTTTATCAAACGCGTGTTTCGGCTCGGCAATGTTTGACGCTGATAAGATTCTCATCTGCGCACCGTCAGTTGTGAATTAATAGATTGTGAGTGATTTATTTACCCTTTATGGTTTTTGTGTGTTAATGTAACATACTCAACAAACCAATGAAGAAGATTCCTGGTTTTGATCTTTCACGAAGTTCATGGTCCACGCTAAACCGCATACGCACAAATCATGGCAGATGTGGTTACCGATGCACAAATAGAAAATAAAAACTCTCCCGTGTAAGTGTACACTCTGGTCATCCAGATCAGACCATACAACATATAACGACGCAATGCCCAATCCACGCATACAAAGGAGTCATGACAGCAATGATACACTCTGCTGCACTTGACGCGATTATCTGGCTTGACCATTTGAATATTAAATGGTAGTTGTTGCTTCTTCATCAGCAGTCATACGACAAAAGAAGATGCTTGACACGCACATGGGCAACAACGCACATTATCAACACTGCCGCACGCATCGAGCCAGGCTGAGCTATCCGGACAGACGCCAAACTCGGGCGTTGATTGGTTTATCGAGATATGGACGAATGGGGAGTGAGGTTCGGGGATTCAGTATCAGGGGCGAGCGTCGGGCTGGCAATTCATTGTCGGGGGTAAACGTTGGGCTTTGAGTGTGTGGTGCGGGAAGAGGAAGGAGACGGGGGTTCAGTGTTGAGGTGATATTGAAAGTGTACACACAAGAAATGGAGAGCGACTCGGCATACTTTATTACAATAAGGGGGGAAAATCGTGGAGCGTGAGTAAAACAGAGGGAGGGGGTGATAATGTCGGACCCAGGTACGCAACCCCCGCGTTTGTTGAGGTTTACCTATATCAGAATGTAGAGGCCGACCGAAACTGAATTTCTGGTTTCGGCCGAAAACGAAACCAGACCGAAAGCTAAAAATTGGCTTTCGGCTGAAACCGAAAGTTAAAAATTGACTTTAGGCCGAAACAGAAAGTAAACCGAAAGTTCACTTTTTGGCTTCGGCCGAAACAGAAACTATGCCGAAACAAGCCATTTTCCAACTTTCAGCGCCGAAACCGAATTTCGGTCAGCCTCTAATTGTCAGACTTCGAATCTCGGTATCAACACGCGTGTAGACTGAAGCAAACGCAACACATAAGCCAAGGCGGACAGGCGGCTGGGAACAGACAACAGAGGCACTTTTTTGTCGTCCCGCCAAAGAGACTCTACCCATGGATGGAGATGCAGGCTGCCGTCTGTTGACCGGTCGTATATACATTAGCAGACCATGGTTGCGGCTGTAACCTCGCTCCCAAGCTGCTGCTGACGTGTGTTTGCAGCCTATCGCATAGGATTGCTTAGCGCCGACTGACCGGCCGATAGGCAGAGTGATAGACGTAGCACTAGCGTTATATTCTAAAAATAGATCTTCGGTTGACGAATGACGACCGAAAGTCAATATCAGTTTCGGCCGAAACCAGACCGAAAGTTAAAAATTTACTTTCGGCCGAAACCGAAAGTATGCTGAAAGAGGCCATTTGCCAACTTTGGGAGCCGAAACCGAAACCTAATTTCGGTCGGCCTCTATCAGAATGAGAATCTTTATTTTAGACTGGAGGTGTATGTGTTGTGTAAATCTACAAACACTTTGCACTTCTATCGTTTTTTTGTTGTTGTAACTTTCTGACATGCCCCTATTGGACATCTGTGAAAAAGAGCTTAATATCTCATCGGATTTCTCGAAGATAAATAAATACTCAGATTCTGAAACATTGTAGAATATTTATAATGTGCTATGTATGTACTTTAAAATGGCATCTGTGTGATGTTAGTGTACTATGGTGTAAGTATTAAGATATGTGTTGTACGCTGTATTTTCTGTATATAAGGTGTTGTGTTTGTGCGATAGGTTCCACGTATGTGTTTCGTGTGTAGTGTGTGTACAGTACGTATACTTGTGTCGGTGGTGTATTTCTACAGGCCAAATGTGGAATTCGTAGAATGTTGTGAAAAAGATGTTGGAATTTGGTGCTCGTGGCTGAGGGTCATCCAATTCATGTCTGATAAGTGTGTGAACAAATCGTGTATGTGCATGTTATGAAGAGCTGTTGAGTGTACTGTGCATGACATGTAATATGTATATGTGCTGTGTACGTGTAGTTTTGCATGCTGTGCATATGTTTACGTTTCTGTATATGTACTGCTGTGATACATCTAAATGTATGACGGTCTGTTTAGATTATCTCTTTTGCAAGTGTGGACTATATATTTAGTGGTGTTGACACAGTTTCTATTTTGTTTAAATATTAAATGTGGCATAATTTTCACATATTGGAATTTGGCTACAATAGCACACAGGAACCTATTTTTAGTAATTGTCACAGACTATTTAACGTCCACTTTCTCGCAAAGTGGCTCAATTTGTTATGGTACTGCCCTACAAAAAAATACTACATTCTCAGTGTTGTACAGTAGGCTGATATCGTGTACATATATTCAATTGGTGCGAGACAAGAAGGTATTTAAGAATTAGGAAACATTTAAAGCTCAGTGTATTCTTGTACACACTAGTGGCAAACTCATTGAATACGAGTGGAGAGGAGGAGCAATAAGTTAATAGAATGGAAAGCAAAGGTTGGATCGTTTTATGGTTGGGGTTTAGGGAAATATAGACATTGGACATTTGAATTTGCGCATCATTTTGCATGCACATCTAATGGCATACATGCACACACCTCAACACCACACCTGACACATACACTGACACACGGCCGTCGGGCACCTCTGCCCCGTCTGTCGCACCATACCTCGCATGCCCCCCCCATGCCCCTTCCCCCCCATGCCCCCCCACACTCCCACCCACCGACCTCTCCTTCTCCTTCCCACACCACACGCCGGCGTATTGGGGCCGGCAGCACATGGTGATGAGCTTCAGGGTGTCGGAGCTGCAGGTTCTGCTGGGCTACATAGGGCGGAGCCGCACAGGGCGCAAGCACGAGCTCATGACGACTGCCCTCCAGGTGCTCAAGTCTGGCTGCAGCGCCGCTGTGCAGATCAAGATTCGGGAGCTCTACCAAGTAATCATTCGCAAGGCACGGCCGCACCTGCCCGATCACTGCCTTGCCTTGCACTCTCTCATTCGTAGCCAGTGTCCTGGTACCCGTGTTAGAAATAAGGCTTTTTCTGCACATTTCTAGCAAATTTATAAATAAAGTGAAAGTTATTTTCTCTATACTTAGAAAGGGTCTAAATAATATCTTAAGATGCAGTACAAGAGGGGACAAAGCATCTGATCAAGGATATAGTTTTACTTATGTTGTCCTTCCCCACACCTCCGATTAGCTCGGTTGGCTACATGGTGCAAAAGAAGTTCATCATACATACAAGGCAGACCACTGAAGCAGGTTTTGATTGAGAGTCCTTATGAAAAATTAAACCACATGATGCTGCATATGAACATGTAAACCAGAGTATTTGTAAAGTGTCAGTCCCTCCCATATTGTCTTTTGTATATGTGTGCTCTTGAGACATTTGTTATTTTATGGGCATGATATAAATGTAAGTTGTTGTTTGTTTATGTATTGTGTTTATTTGGTAGATGGTGCCTGCCAAAGTAATCTGCCAAGGTTTCTGTTTTGTGTCGCAATGTTAGTAATTGTTTTTGGGTGCGAGGTGGGGAGGGGGGGCACCTGTGTGCTGTTCCGAAGCTATGGAAGGGCTACGGACTGGGCTCATGTCCATGTTTGGCACTCAGCAGCGCCGATACCCCGGCAAAGCGATGTCGCCGTCGGAGTTTGCTACGGTGGTAGACTCCTCACCGCCACCACGACCGCAGACGCTATCGTCGCCCACAGCGCTGCTCTACCACCATTCGGCAAGCTCCTCACAGCCGCCCGCTGCTAAAATTCCTCCCGGTAAGCTCGGATTGCTGGACACGACAACACTCGGTGCGGTGTTCGCAGTGGTGTATGCCTCCGCTCATGACAACTGCATGTGCAGTGTTACTCGGAAGTTTTTGTAATGTCAATGTGTAATAGGTGGATGTTTAAAAAAGGATTGGCTCTTGAAGCTATGATTGTTACATTGTATAGTTATTGTCAAATATGTTTTTATTCCACAAATCCAACTATGGCATGTAAGTTATGTTCATGTTTTTGGTTAGAACACGTTCCTTCGAAGTGGGCAGGTAGGAACTTGGTTGGACAGCGCATTCGTGCACGACAGAAAGCTCGCGGTCACGTGACACACTTCAACCAATCCGGGAGCGTACATGTTTGGGAGGGGCTATGCACGACAGACAAATAATCCCTGGTGGGCAGTGTGGAACTTTTGTTCCTACCTGTAATATTTATCATGTGATATGTGGTTATGTGGGTTGATCGAAAGTATTCACATAATTGTTGGATGATCGTGTGAAAATGCAGCGTGAATCTTGACCGTTTCTGCATTGTATAGAAAAATCTGCGCTTGAGTATGTATGTTGACCCGCGCGCGTGTTTGTGTGCTTGTGTGTACTAGCAGCCTCAGGGCCCATCCCTCTGCTGTCGGTGCTTGCCAAGCAGGATGCTGACATGAGTCACCGATCACCCCCGCGCCTTCCTGCGCCGCCCGACGTGCGGCTCACCAAGCTGCCCTTTTACGATGTACTCGACGAAATCATGAAACCGACTGGCCTGGGTAAGCTGTCTTCAATGCCCTCCAGTGTTAGTGGATGCAGCCTGCACAGCCACCTAAGAGTGTGCGTTGCTCTGCGCCATATGCAGTTTTAAACGTTTAGTGATTGTTTGCCTTCAGCGGTTGGATTGACTATGGCTGATGATGACCGTGATGGTTTGTGACTTTTTGCTGGATGTGAGGTATAGCAGTAGTTCAATAGCAGCATGATATCACTCTTCATAGAGAGTTGCTGTCTTACTTGGTTAAAATATGTTGTGAAATGCTCTGCTCTAAATGGCAGCAGAGGGTGCAAATCTTGCTGTTGGTGTAATTGCTTGTACACAACACAATGTCACGTCTGTCAGAGCTTTAGTTTGATGCATATGTTTCCCCACAGTTGCCACTAGCACGCAGCGCATGCAAGAGGCGTACTTTGTGTTCCCTCTCACGCCACAACAAGTCTCTCAGATATCCTCATCCAGGTACGTGGAATTGGGCGTCGGCAAGGGATGGCGCTATGCCACTCCATGGAAACCGCTTTTTCAATTCAAAGGTTGCTGAAGAATGGTCTCGACCAATTGTCAATATCTCTGACAGTGGTGAGCGGTCATCAGGTTTAAAAATTATTGTAAATGTGGTGGCTTGGCTCTCCAACACACTGGTTAGTGCTGTACTAGTAACGAATTGCATGTTCTGTTTACGTGACAAACCTTACTAATTGGCTGTCGGGTGGTGGCGTGTTTAACGACACATTTATATATTTACACGCTCTAACCCAACAAAACATCTATTATGGAGGTTTAAATACGCCTGCAGTTTGTAGGCAGCTATACAAACAGGTGAGTAATGAGTTCCGTCTAGGGTAAAGCGTTTTGTTTGACAGGGCCGGCAAGGACATACACTTCACGTGGAAAGACGGAGTGACAGAAGTAACATGAGTGGATCGACAGACAAATGTAATAACACGAGACTAGTATCCATGGAAAAGGCAAAGCAAGGCAGCAGAGCAATAAAGAGAGGTAGATGGGATCATCAATGACGCAAAGGGCTTTGGTTTAGATTCACCGTCGATGGGCGCGTGTGCTTTGTGGGGCAGGGAGCTGCTGCCAGGTTCACGCTATGACTACTCGGTACAGCTGCAGCTGAGGTTCTGCCTCTCGGAGACGAGCTGCCCACAGGAGGACCACTTCCCCCTTAACGTGTGCGTCAAGGTCAACGGGAAGCCCTGCCCGCTGCCGGTAAGCGCCGCAGATCGCCGAACCCTTTCAGGTCAAAAGTGGTTTCCCGCACAGTGAACATTAAAATGTGCTTTTATTTATTCTTGAGCCAGTGATGGAAATTCTGCATTTGTATGGAAGTGAGTAATTCCAATCGACACTGGTAATTGGCTTTCCCCAACTGGGTACTTGTGTAAAGTTGTTATTGGGCCAAGATGCGCCATTCCCCCATGCGATAGCCGGCAATACCAGCCTCATGCCAATAGGGGGTAACAGAGGGGCTGAGCCCCAATGCTGAGAGTCTATGCTTCATAGGGTCCAATGGTTACCCTATGGAACAGTATGTAAAAGGGGCAGATACCAGGAGGGGGGCTGGGGGATGACATCCTCGGATCCTTCTCGAAAGTTCGAGAAGGAAGGTGTGGCCGGGGCAGAGCGAGCCACGGCTCTGTATAAATGCCGGACCTCTGGACGGTCCCGGCAGTTGTCGTCCAGCTGAAGACAAGAAGACTGAAGAACCCGAGGGCAGAGCCGTACCCCTGGCAAGGGTCGGCTCCAGCTTGTATACCAGTGAAGACTCAAGCTTCACTCACGGAGGACTTGTAGATTAGCCAGTGAGAGGCGTAGTAGTCTGGAGAGTAACCTCCATAGTGTATTGGGTGTGAGGGGCTGTTACCTCTCCTGTGTTAAGTGATAATTGTTAAATAAAAACTGTGTTGCCTCAAAGAAGCTTTCTTCTAGTTATTCAACCCACTACACTTGCACTCAAATATCCTCTTTTTATAAACAGGGTGCATTTTAATAATAGGGTTTTTCCCCTTTTTTCTGGCAACAAAACTTAAACCTTTTTACAAGTGTAATAAAGGTCGTTGAGGCGACTTTTGGAATCCGGTCTTTTATTCACTTTGCATTACAGCTTTCCTTCACGCTGCTGACAGGCAGCGTGAGAGGGATAGAGAGAGAGACGCGCCGCCACGTGGCAACCCGGAGCCCCGCTCACGCATGGCCCCCTCCTCCGTTCGTTCCCGTTCTGACCATGTGTCGTTCGTCTCCACCCCTATTTAATACCCGGGTCACGTGGTATGTTTCCACCAATCCTGGTTAGCCTCCATGGAATATTCCAGACTCCCTCGTAGGCTCCCGGGACCACCCCCTGACTCATCTCCCCATTGGCTGTGGCCAAAGCCAGCAGAACCAATCCTCTACTTACAGCTGTCACCTTTCCATTACGTCAGGGCCACGCCCCTAGGCTTCCCCCCATTGGCTATGGACCAGGACCGGCAGAGCCAATCATCATGACGAGTTGTGATACGTCAGTGAGCCGGATATATCCTCACATTACACAAGGATTAATGTCTGCATTAACCACAATACTTGCAGTCAAAATGCTGCAAACAAAAAACACACTATGATAATATATGAATTATCCTTGAAACTGATTGGTCCACACCAAGGGACGGCTTTCTTTTGAGCCACGACCCAAAACGTCGTAGTTTTTTTGTTATTTTCTTTGAACCTATCTTACGTGACTTTACGGAAAGACCCAAATAATATTAATTCCTGCAGTCACGAAAGCTTTAAGTCAAGATTTAATAAGAATCACTGTTCATCAAAGACTTGTTACACATTTACAAATGTAATTGTTACACACTTACAAATGTATGTTCTGGGTAAATGCAATTATCCAAGTCGTCGTTTTCCACCAATTGGTCCATTTCTTGCACTAAAAGTATACAAAATAAGTAGTCTCCTCCACGATATGAATCTAGTCCGAAGCCTTCGTAACCCAGTGATGAGTACCAGCAGTGGATGGTTCCCCTTGCTAAAGGGACGTAATGTCTTATGCAGTAGCTTTGTGTTTGGCATTGGGTGTGCGTTGTGGTGTTCTATGCTTGCCAATATATTCGTGACTGTGCCACCTCAGGGCTGCTTGCCACCCCAGAAGAACGGCGTGGAGCCCAAGAGGCCAAGCCGCGCGGTCAACATGACGTCGCTCGTGCGGCTCACACCCTCCGTGCCCAACCACATCACCGTGTCCTGGTCTACGGACTTCGGCAGGGTTGGTGCCTGGCACACACCGCACAGTCCACGTCACGGCACTCGCAAATAACCTTTTACAGCCGGTTCATGCCCACCAACCCGCTCTGACGAGAGCGTGATGAAGTATGGTCAAGTGGGGAGGCATTTTATCCAGCATTGGATTGACAAAAGGGCTGTACACTCTTAATTTTGGAGCTTTCGTGACTGCAGGAATTATTCTTTGGTTTTTTTCCGGTAAAGTCACGTATAAAAATAAAATAATAAATTAAATAATAGCATACGACGTTTCGATTGCAACACAAGCAATCATCATCAGGTATAATGAAATAGCGACATAGAATATAACCAGAAAACTATAGACAGACATATAAGCAGACAGATATCACCAAGATACATAGAGAGAGCAATCCAGGTACAGAGAGAGGTGATCGTCTCTGTGGGGTGGCCTTAAATAGACAGAGGGGGGCGGAGGCAGAGAGAGGGAGGGGGTAGGGAAAACATTTACATGTCAATGAGTACGAAGGGAGGGGAGTAAGGTAAGCAGGCTTAGAGGGAGACAGAACACACTAAATTAAATAACCTAGCAAAGTATCGAAATGTTATGTAAAACGACACAGAGAGTCGGTCAACACACAATTAACGCATTGCCTGGTCGATTAAGTATTTCAAAGATTGCTAAGTTAGAATTTAAGTGTGAAAATTCCAAAGAAAGACAAAACATAAAAAAAAAGAGGAACGGAGACACACAGACAGAGCAGAACCTAAGAACGATACAAAACGAGTGTAGACAGAGAAAATTACACTAAATATACAGGCAGAGAGAGAGAACAAGAAACCCAGAGAGAGAGAAAAAGGTAAACTTGGAACTTCCCCGTAGAAGTGGTTCAATCTTAATTTTGGAGCTTTCGTGACTGCAGGAATTATTCTTTGGTTTTTTCGGTAAAGTCACGCACAAAAATAAAATAACAAATCAAACAATAGCACACGACGCCTCGATTGCAACACAAGCAATCATCATCAGGCACAACGAAACAGCGACACAGAACACAACCAGAAAACTATAGACAGACATACAAGCAGACAGATATCACCAAGATACATAGAGAGAGCAACCCAGGTACAGAGAGCGCTGTACCTGGGTTGCTCTCTCTATGTATCTTGGTGATATCTGTCTGCTTGTATGTCTGTCTATAGTTTTCTGGTTGTGTTCTGTGTCGCTGTTTCGTTGTGCCTGATGATGATTGCTTGTGTTGCAATCGAGGCGTCGTGTGCTATTGTTTGATTTGTTATTTTATTTTTGTGCGTGACTTTACCGAAAAAACCAAAGAATAATTCCTGCAGTCACGAAAGCTCCAAAATTAAGATTGAACCACTTCTACGGGGAAGTTCCAAGTTTACCTTTTTCTCTCTCTCTGGGTTTCTTGTTCTCTCTCTCTGCCTGTATATTTAGTGTAATTTTCTCTGTCTACACTCGTTTTGTATCGTTCTTAGGTTCTGCTCTGTCTGTGTGTCTCCGTTCCTCTTTTTTTTTTATGTTTTGTCTTTCTTTGGAATTTTCACACTTAAATTCTAACTTAGCAATCTTTGAAATACTTAATCGACCAGGCAATGCGTTAATTGTGTGTTGACCGACTCTCTGTGTCGTTTTACATAACATTTCGATACTTTGCTAGGTTATTTAATTTAGTGTGTTCTGTCTCCCTCTAAGCCTGCTTACCTTACTCCCCTCCCGTCGTACTCATTGACATGTAAATGTTTTCCCTACCCCCTCCCTCTCTCTGCCTCCGCCCCCCTCTGTCTATTTAAGGCCACCCCACAGAGACGATCACCTCTCTCTGTACCTGGATTGCTCTCTCTATGTATCTTGGTGATATCTGTCTGCTTATATGTCTGTCTATAGTTTTCTGGTTATATTCTATGTCGCTATTTCATTATACCTGATGATGATTGCTTGTGTTGCAATCGAAACGTCGTATGCTATTATTTAATTTATTATTTTATTTTTATACGTGACTTTACCGAAAAAACCAAAGGGCTGTACACTGTTGTTCATGAGTGCAAATTTATATGTAACCTTGTAAAATTTTCGTGATTACCATTTTTTTGGGAACTTTTTCAATGGATACACATGCTGGCGCATTGATTTGGCATGAAAACAGAATCATGTATTTACCCTTAAGTTGTAGGGGACTTTCCAGAACAGTAACACAAATGTATAAGCACGCGTGAATTTACCCAACCTCAGTCTAACTCTCCTATTTGCTGCTAGGAGTCAGGCTCAACAAAACATTGTAACCAGTCAGTTTAACACGTAGGCTTTCACGACCAATATTCATAATACAGGTTTTTTGGGTTAGATAGCGTAAATATATAAATGTGTCGTTAAACCCGCCACCACCCGACAGCCAATTAGTAAGATTTGTCACGTAAACAGAACATGCCAATTCATTACTAGTACAGCACACCGGTGTGTTGGAGAGCAAAGCCACAACATTGGTGGTGGCGGGTTTAACGACGCATTTATATATATATCCGCGATCTAACCCAAAAAAGCCTGTATTATGGATTGTAACTGCTATTAACCACACGCCCAAATTCTGAAAAAGAATCTGCAAATGATCATTAGGAATACATGTGACAACAGCACCCCCGACTGGCAAACTTGGTGGGACCCTCTTGAAAAAGTAGTCTTGAGAGTCGGCAAGACTTTCCTGGGTAAACAATCGTAAATCATTTTTTTTACATTTCCGTACCCAGTGTGGTCGTTTAGCTATTTATAGTAATGAGACATTTAATAAGCTGGGGAAACATTTGCAGGAGCTGCTCCCACTGCGGACGTACGACCAATTTCTCCTCGCGCATTCTCTTTACGCCCCTCCTCCTCTTTTTGTCCTTGCACTACCAACAGAGCTACTCGCTGGCCGTGCACCTGGTGAAGCAGCTGTCGTCGGCCGTGTTGCTCAACCGGCTCAAGGCGAAGGGCATCCGTAACTCGGACCACTCGCGCGCCCTCAGTGAGTGCAGCGTCCCGCATACAGAAGCGTGCACTTGCCTTGCCGGCACTCTGAGAAAAAAACAAAATGATGACTCGACAGTTCGATTCGTCATTTTCTTGGGGTATGCGATACATATTTGAAGCTTCGTTTGTAAAACAAAAGACACGTTAAGTAAATGGGTTAAGTGGGTTCTCGAATGTTGTAGCCCTGTCGTCACCAGCATTGATTGCACAAAATATCCATCGTTGTACTGGGTTGTCCAATATGTTTTTGAAGCTTTGATTGTGAAACGAGACTGATCAAGCGTTCAGATGTTCCCTCATTGTGTCACTATAGTGACTTTTTTACAGAACCAAGTTTATACAACAGTGAGTGAGTGTTCCTGGAAGTCGTTTGGAAGTATTATTTTTTTATTAACAAAGCTTGAGAATCGTGTTTGCCAAAAATAAAGTTCTTTTTTGCTCATTGAGCATTAATGGGGGTGCGTATTGCCCATTTATAGCCATAAGCCAGTGGTGGAAAACCACATTCCTATGGTGAGGGCTAGTCTATCCATAGAACAACCACTGTTATCTATTTTATTTACTACTAGCTTAAAAACATTTTTCAAAACTACTCTTAAAAATCTAACAGCAGTGTGTACTGACTGTGGTGGTACCTGCTATGATTACAGCAGTGCATACTGTGGTGGTACCTGCTATGATTACAGCAGTGCATACTGTGGTGGTACCTGCTTTCACTGCAGCAGTGTGTACTGTGGTGGTTCCTGCTATGATTACAGCAGTGCATACCGACTGTGGTGGTACCTGCTATCACTACAGTAGTACATGCTGACTCTGTAGCAGTATTTATCGACTCTATAGCACAAAGTACTTACTTGACAGTGGCGTGGTGAGGCCTAGTCCCGTGCAGAGCCTCTGGCCTCGCCTAGATTGTCCAGCCGGCCGAGGTGGCACCTTGGCAGGCTGGGGCTGGGCTGCTACCCCTGACCCCCCCCAGCCACTATCTCCCCGGGCCACTTTGCAGTAATATCTACGGCCTATATTGGTAGCATCTACCGACTGTATAGTAGTAACTGCACACATCTGGGTGGGGGGGACATCACACAGTGAAGAATTTACCTGAGCGTTTAGTGTATTTTTATAGCATTTTTAACGCGAAAGAAAATGTCCCCCTCACTCCCACCGAAGGCATGCGACTTGGCATGGGCCGTCCCCCCCACCAAAGGCGTGTGAGTTGGTATGGTCATGCACGAGTCATGAATAAATAAATAAAAGCGTACAAAAATGGCAGTAAATCGCTAATTAAACTAATTAAAAGTTGACGGATGTGAAAAAGAAATAGCGCTTGCTCACGGCAGGGCTTACGGCGTGGTTCCTGGCTATTTTTATTTTCCGTAAACCCCACCGTTGGAGAGCCAAATCCTTCGCAAGCGCGCAAGCGCGCAAACTCACAAACCCACAAACCCCGCCACAAACCCACACACAATTTTTTTTGACTTTTTCTATAAAGATAAGGGATGAAGGGCTGAGTCAACCCCCAACCAGGATTCGAACTGGAAAACTGATCGTGAGCGGCTCACTTTTGCTGTTGAGTCACCTGGCCGTGCAAGGCAGTGTGCATATATCATGGGGTTATTTTTTTCAGATGAGAGAGACATTTGATTTTTTGTTTGAACCTCGTTATGGTCGCATAGTTGTTTTTTATCGACTGCCGCAGTGTGGATGCGCAACGGTGCCCAAGTACTGGCCTGAGATTACGGTGGGTTCTCCTTGTCTTTTGCAGTCAAGGAGAAGCTGACTGCTGATCCCGACAGCGAGATTGCCACCACCAGCCTTAGGGTGTCCCTGCTGTGTCCGGTGAGTGGTCCCCATGCATCATACCTGGGGTGAATTACACTTGTAATTGTATACACTTTCGCACCTCCGATTAGCACGGGTGGCTACGTAAGGTGCTAAAGACGTTCAATACGCATAACTTGTAATGATTTTTAATCACAATGCAATTGTAATTATACTTATGTTACAATGCTCCTACGATTGTAATTATAATTTATCCCATATGTTCTGCACACGTGCCGTAGCAGCGGTTCGCAGTTTTGCTTAATGTTGGTTTCAGTGTGACCCCACGTAGTTTGCGTGTGTGCATGTGTGCCTGCATTTGTATGTGTGCCTGCATTTGTGTGCACTTGCCTGTATGTGTATGCCTACGTGTGTGCACGTGTATTCGCATCTGTGCGAGTGTGTACATGTTGCGTCTGGGTCCACGTACGTGCATGTCTGCACATACGGCATGTGTAGGGTGGAATGATCGCACAGGGGTTAACCCAATGCGCTACGAACCCGGAGTGTAATCGTATGGTTGTCTGAAATACAGATAGCCCTGCTTAAGTTACACCTCTTCATCCACTTTTACAATTGTAATGCATGCGAGTCAATTAATCCATAACATTCTAGGTTTGGTCTTTGAATTTCAAGTGATTGGCATTTCATGTGGCCTCCAAATGCAACTACCATGGCAGAAGTACTGATGACATTAGCACCATGTCATCGTGGCAAATTACCGCTTTTATTATGAATGTGTGTATGTGTGCTCCTGCTGTACAACCTCAGCTCGGCAAGATGAGGCTGAGCCTGCCATGCCGGGCGCTCACCTGCACGCACCTGCAGTGCTTCGACGCCGCATTGTACCTGCAGATGAATGAGAAGAAACCCACGTGGGTTTGCCCCGTATGCGACAAGAAGGCACCATACGACGGGCTAATCATCGACGGGTGAGCTTCCTGCCGTGTGCTCTCACACGCTTCAACCCCCCCCGCGGATATGTTAAGTTGTTTACAGCTTCTGCTCATTTCCTTTGATGCGCGGAGAAATGACCCACCATGCCCGCCCGCAGGCTGTTTGTGGAGATTCTCAACTCTTGCACGGACGCAGATGAGATCCAATTTCGGCAGGATGGGCTGTGGAGTCCAATGAAGCCCAAGAAGGAGAGCAAGGAGCGAACAGTGGCGACCATGCACCGCTCCAATGCTGATAGTGAGTGGCCACACACCTCGCCACGGTTGTACAGGCCCACACGTGCCTCTTGTCCGTTGCTCGCACGAGTTCTGGACATCGGTGATGAGCAACAATAAATCCGAATGTGGACGTTCTGGTCTTTCAACAGCGTTACCGTGCCGCGAGGCCGAGTAATTTAACCCCAACGTTCACCTCTGCAGGCATGGGTGGCTACGGCAGCTCGGGTTACTCTGCATTGGCGGCATCGCAACCAAGCCGCGTGGGCAGCAAGCGTGCCGAGGTCATCGACCTCACAGTGGGAAGCTCCGACGACTCGTCAGACGCCAGCGAGCGAGACGACGATGACGACGACGATGACGACTCATCTCCCTCACCTCCACCGCTGCCGCCTACAAAAAAGTTCTGCACGAGCGCCATCATGGAGCTGCCCGGGAAAGGGTTAGTGGTGCCTGTCCTGGACCACGACGAACTCTCGCAGGATTGGTAGCCGCTCGTTCTCAATCTAAGGGCGGCACTGGTAAATTGTTGGGCCTAGCGTGGGGAGGTTCACAAAGTGTTCGACATGAATTGTTTATAGCAGCTACGACGTTTTATTGCAGTGCGTTTTTAAGCGCGGGGGTTGTTTTCGTTATTTGAACTAGGGAGGTCACGGGAAGCGCTGCACTTGATAGCAATGTGTTGGGGAAGAAGCAAGAATGTTTCCTCTTGTCCTGTCTGAATTACCCTATATATAAATGGTCATTGTTATCGACATTTTATTGCTTAACTGTAAATTGGGTAAATCATTAACATTTGAATGTCTGCAGTTATAGCTTACTCTTGTGCTTGTGTCCTCCATAATTTTAATTTATTTTCTATTAAAGCCACCGTTTTTTGTTCGTACGTACTCGAGTAATGTTGAGTGTTGCTCGATTGAGAGTCCTGCCTTGTGTTGTATGCATTTTGTTGTTTACGTGTTGTCATCTCATGGCCCCTTTGAAGATATGCAGGGGGGTGACACTGCCATATGGGGAGTGCTGTTATTTGATACCATTACAATAAAGTTATTTTTTTATAGTTTTGTGAGACGCAAATGCATTATTTACAAGACTTGTTCACGCATGCACAAAGCAGCCACTCTCACTGTCGCTTTCTTTCCCTGTGTTTGAAGTGTGCGATGCCAACTGAAAGATAATTTTACATCGATTATGGCTTGTGTTGCATGGACTGCTCTATCCTAACCACTTCTAACGCAAACACATTGCTTCACTAACGCTTAGAAGAGAGTGCCCAACGGCGTATTTAAGAAGTTGAGTCGAGTTCACGAGATGCGTCCCAAGTTTGCGATGGCTAGCCATTTGTCAGTTGAGTGGCGACGCGCTGCGGATGTTGGCTTGCATGCTCTAATCGTGGTGCACTGTGTGTTTAAGGGTGCTGAACCTGCACCGCTCCAGCGTGTCCCCCATGGTGTCGAGTTACCTGCCCACGTCACTGGCGGACTTCACCTCCTACTCCATGTCCACCATGCCCCCAGACATGCCCAGTGAGTACCTGTGCCCACCTTAACTGGAAAAGGCACCTGCTCACGACATGTGCGGGGTTCACGCACACGCGTGCACAATGTCATTGACGTTTTCCTTGTCATAGGGTTTAGGGCTTTTTGAGCTAATCGTGACGCAGTTTTGATCAAATGAATCTCGTTCTTTGGTCTTTGGTCACCGCCTTAATTTTACTGGAGATGCGGAAAATGTAGACAGCCACACCAAGTGGTTCACCAGCACTGGAGTTTGAGGAGCCCTGCTCTTTGAATATCAACGCTTTGCTGTAATCTATTGGGCCTCTAGCTTCCTTGCCAGTAATACAGCCCCTTGAATTATCTCATTGCACCCTGCTGGTTCGGTGTGACTGGTTCCAACTCTCGATCCAAATTAAAGTAAACATAGAATAAATAAAAACGAATGGCTTTCTTACATGAGCTGAATCGCAATCTGCATTATTAATCACCTAGCAAGCGGTAATGTGCAAAGCAGCGGTTAGGTTATGGTTAGGTTCGGATAGGGTTAGTTTAACGTTAGGTTAGGGGCTAGGACTGTTAGGGCTAGGTTAGAGTTAGGTTAGGGTTGGGTAAGGGCTAGATTGTTTAGGTTATGTTAGAGCTAGGTTATGTTTGGGTTACGATTAGGTTAGCGTTAGGTTTGGGTTAGATTATGGCTAGGTTCGGGTTAAAACTAGATTCTAAGCTTTCGCGACTGCAGGAATTACTCTTTGGTTCTTTCGGGAAAGTCACGTAGAAAATAAAATAAAATCATAGAATACGACGTTTCGGTTGCAACAAGCAACCATCATCAGGTAAGAATGAATGATAAAACACAGACACTTTACTTCTAATTTAGCAATCATTGGGAGAACGTTAATCAACCAGGCTATGCGTTAACTGTGTTTTAGCCGACTCTCTCTCTGTGTTGCATTACATTAATTTAATTTTGCTTAGTTGTCAAACGTCCTATTTCTCACTCAGTGTGTCTGAGTGTTGTCTCTTTCTACATGTGGGTCTGCCTATGCTGTTTTGGTGTCTTTCTGTTTGTGGGTCTGTCTGTGCTGTTTCCGTGTCTGTGTTTTATTACACTTTACTTCTAATTTAGCAATCTTTAGAAGAACATTAATCAACCAGGCTATGCGTTAACGGTGTTAACCAACCCTCTGTGATGCATTGCATTACACTTCTTAATTTTACTAACTTTGCTTTCTCAAACTTCATATTTTCTTGCTTCCACTGCTCCCTGTCCCCTCGTTTGTCAGCTGGTCCTGCCTCCCCAGTCCTCTCTCTGCCCCGGCCCCTCCCTCCCCTCTCTATTTAAGGCCTCTGCACAGATTCGTTGTCCTTCTGTTCGTCTTGGTGTGTCTCTCTCTGCATGTCTGCCTATGCTGTTCCCGTGTCTGTTTTATCATTCATTCTTACCTGATGGTTGCTTGTGCTGCAACCAAAACGTCGCATTCTATGATTTGATTTTCTACGTGACTTTACCGAAATAACCAGAGGTTAGGGTTAGATCATTAAAGATGGAACTCTATACCAGAGTACCAGATTTTGGCAACATTGCATTAAGACTGGTCCCTGCATAACTGTTAACTCTCAAGTGAATGAGATTTCCACAAATGTTAACTTATCTAGGTGACACTTCTACATCACATCGTTGGCTGTAAATGCTGTTATGGCAATACGCATGGGTGCTGGGTGCTCTTTAACTTTATGCCTGTCTTTTACAGCCCTGGATTTGTACTCCATCTTGCAGACGGATAGTCAGGTAAGTGGCATTCACCTACACTTCTGTATTCACCAGTGTACTCCACAATCTACTTACTGTGCCATGTTACTGTATTGAACATTGCACCTAATTATACAGGTCTCCCAATATTAGCACCTCAAGTCTTTTTTTGCCACAAGTGCTGCAGACAAATCTGACATCTTTCACTTTGTATGTTTTTGATTGCATAAAAACATGCGTTTTTTATCGACATTCGGTGCCAGGCAGATGTATGTTTAATCTATGTAACTGCTTTCATTATTCCACTTTTTCTGACCAGTTTGGGCTGGGTGCCTGTGAAAGAGCTTCATAGCTTATATACAATGTCTGTTCATTCATCTTGAAGTTTTGGACCCAGCAAAATTTGCAGATATTTTATATTGGCAAATGTAACACCTCCAGGATTAATGCACAGCCTTTAACACCACCAGTGGTGCAATTGCAGCAGAGCTCAGGCTAGAGGGACTTTGGCAGAGGGGAGGTCAAGGCACCCCACGTCATTCAATGCGCCAACCACGAGGCCACTGTCACCGTACCTGCTCTTGTAATAATCCACCAGCTGGTTTGTTCACACATGCTTGCAGCACGACTTGGAACCTTGTAGATTTGTTGCACATCATTACCGTCTTGTCCCCAGTTCGGCAGCGGAGTGTACCTGGACAATCCGTCGTCAAATGCAGCTGCGCTCACCACATCCACCATGACGTCCACCACCTCCAGCCGCTTGCAGGAGCCACACCCTCCCAGTACTGCTGCCACGGTGGCTGCCAGGGCCTATCCAGACGTCATCTCACTCGACTGACTCTCCATGAAGCAGGGGAGAGGCTGTGCCAGTCAACTGTGCTTATAATGCAGCAGCCTCCACGGACCTTGGTTGATTTTCGAGAAGTTTCAAATTGGACACACTCGCTTCGCCAACACTTCGGTTTAAGTTATCTAACAAGTCCTGGGCATGTGGGGTGTCAAGACCACCAATAAAATGTTTTTTGGGCTAGATTGCATAAATGATCTATAGCACACTTTTCATCAAGGATCTCAGAGCAATATGAGACAGCAGCACACTCAGCATATTAAATGCATTTTAAGAATAATTTACTAAAACGAAAAGTTTAAGAAATGTATAGCTTTTAAGGCACATTTAAAAATGTCCACTGATCCTGATATTTAATTTAGCCTTCCATAGCCTGGGGGCTACATGGGAAAAAAGCTCACCCAGACCAAAACCTCAACCTGGGAATGCAGATCACCATATCCAGATCTTAGTGACCTTTGAGGGGACATGGGTGCAGCATGTCAATGATGTAGGCTGGGGCAAGATGGTTCACTGCTTTGTCAGTATTTTAAACTATTGTGAAACTGGAAGCCAGTGCAGGGAAGCCAAAACTGGTGTTTTAGGTTAACACCTGAGGTCACATTCTGAACATGCTACAAATTGATCAGCACCTTGTTAGCCACACCAGGGAGTACGACATTAAAAGTCTGAGATGACGGCAGAGAGAAGGGATAGCATAGATTTTGAAGATGGAAAAATGAAGTGATCTTTTTAATGAGCCTTGAAGCACATGGGATCACAGAGGACCCCTAGATTTGTAATTGCCTTTATGTTGCTCAACCCACCACAGCTAATTAGCAAGGCTTGTGTAAGCAAAGCATGCCAATTCCTTACAAGTTAAGCACACCAGTGTGTTGAAGAGCAAACCAACATTTACAATTCAAGACTGGTTATATAATTACCAGCAATACTCTAATTGTGTATTTGCTGACCTAGAAACTAATTGGCATGTTTTGTTTACATGATAAACCTTATTATTTGGCTGTGTTGATCTATATGTATGCCATCTAACACAAAAAACCCTATTGGGTCAGGAAAGCCAAGGAATAACTGCACCAACACTCAGGTTGTAAAAATATTACAATATCTTCCCCCACAAGTTAATCGCACAGCTCTGACTACTTGCAAGTGTCAAATTGTTTAAAATTGACAGCAATACCACCACTGAAAGGTATTTATTTCACAGAACAAGGCTTGACCTGAAGTACCTGCACACACATGGGCTTATCCTGCAAGTGGTGCCGAAACCTTAGGCTGCAGAATGCCAAAAGCAGATCTCTCCATGGATTTTGGGATGCCAAATCAGCTTAATATTGTAAAAAAAGAATGTACAGTTTGTAGTTGATAAGATGTAATTTTTAGCCACGTGTAGCCACATTGGTAATCCTCACAGGATGCGTGTTTGTCAGTCTCTTGCACATTTGGTATTGGAAAGTCTTGTAGACATGTCAGTTGCTCATTAAAATTGACAACGGACCATTTATATTGTGCATGTTCTCCCACTGTTGTAAATGCCACACTGCAGCTCCCAGTTAGCATCAAGTGACCAACAGAATGAGCAATTTATAAAGCCTTTGGTCCATTGCAGTCATGCATTTACTGGTAGGAACCTCTGGTTACACCAGCCCACGGGATTATTGTGTCCGTCGTGCAGGGAGGGGCTGGGTGGAGAGGGTAGGGTGGGGAGGGGCTTATAAAACGTTTAACCTACTCACGCATGCTTGTGCCCACCCTCAGTCGGGCATATTTGCGGAATACACACCACCGTTGACCCTCCCTCCGCAGGAATGTGTTTAACCTGTCAAGACCTGTATACACATTCCACTTTCCATTTCCAACTGTACCTTTATCCTTCCATGTCATGCAGGGGTTAGTGAATATTTTTCGCAGTGCTATGGCATAACTTTCCAATTGCTTTTGGCAGAGCAGTAGCCTTGCCACATTCACCAGATTAAACTATTGTCCAGATGGCACTGCCCGGAAAGGATTGTCCTTCAAAACACAATTGGACATGGCTACCAACTAGGACACATGACTGTATCAATACAAATTATGCAAAGCTTTATCCTACCAAGCCCAAACAAATGTATGAAAGACTTTCAATCAGCTCAAATTCTAAACATATAGTATTACTGTGATTTGAAGATTTTTATGGAAACCTTGTAATCTTCAAATGTTACACAATTGAGCCAAAAAAATGTACCTTCTCCAACTATACGAATGACCAAGTTGAATAATACCAGTTTCACATTTCCAAAGAAACTGGAAAACTCCTTTGACCCCACAATTGGCCTTCACAGCGATAACATCAATTCAACCCAGGACACACACTTGCACTACAACTTTATTTTAAGCATTTTCAAGGTTACATTCCGGTTGCTTAATTTGAGAGAGGATTTATGATCTTCATGGTAGTGCGACATTTGTTAGCCCCCTCCAGATGGTCACAAGTCCTCAGGCAGTCCACTTAATTAGGTATTATCAAATACAGGTGTTAAACAGTGCTTTGGCAAATGGAGGCGTGGGTGGCGCTCGTGGAAAAGTGGTCGTTGGTGATGGCAGCGGCACCGCTCTACAGCTTGTCCAGGTAGTTGTCCAGCGCCGGAATGCCCTCTTTGAGCCCCTTGCGTTTGCGCGTCTCCACCACCACCTGGGCAGGACGGGAGGTGGGGTCGGAGGGGTCGCCGGGCAGGATCTGCCAGTGGTCAAACACGCACTGCGGGAAGGCCTGGCCGCCCGTGTTGGAGCGCAGGTCGGCCGTGAATCCTAAAAGTGTGCGCACGGATTGCAGACAGGGAGAACACGGGGCTCAACGGTCATTCACACTCCAAGACAGCAATGTACTGCAATTCTTGCCCATCCCCTTACCAACCACAATGCCGAATGTCACTTGCACAAGATCGGGCTTAGAGAACCCCAGGCTTGCCACAGCTTGTGCTTACCGAAGGACTCGTTGACGGGAAGGTAAGCCTTGACGACGAACATGGGCGTGCCAGCCACCTGCGACTCCTCAAAGACGTGGCCACGTTTCCTGTTGAGCACGCCGTAGATGCCGCCCACCACGGCCTCCGGGCACTGCAAGCCACAACACCGTACTCGGTTAGGCACTACCCTTGATTCAGCTATTTCATAAGAACACCTAGAGGATGTATTGAAGAAAAAGCAATAATTATACAAAGTAATTTTTTTATGTTAGAAATCAAGAGCTTTGGGTTTAATCAAAGTTGTCTGCCCTGCTTCAAGGTGCCACCACTGTCATTGTTCCTTGCAGATTTTGTAAGGCTTTCCGGTTCATATAATATAATTATTTTTTCTCAAACGAGTGATGGTATAAAAATCTGTGGGCCTGAGTCAGTGGTGTAAATTCCACATTCCTATGGGAAGGACCAGGCTCAATTGCTGACAAGACAAAGTATCTTATCAACCACAGAGAGATGATGCACCAAGTCAAGTCATTACAGGGCTCTACCATGGAGGAAATTATGAGAGCGCATAGCAGCAACCACCCTGTAAAACTCCCAAACTGAGCTCTCGATCCTTAAATCTCAACAGTAGCAGTAGATTTGACGTAGCTGAAAGGCCTCCTACACCCACGAGGTTATCTAGCAAAAAAAACTAGTGGGCATTGCAGCCCTGTGACAAGTTATTTTAATGTCCCAAGCTGGTGGAAGGAAGGCCTTAAGTGTATGGCCAAGTCTGACCCGACGATGCATCTCCCCCCACTTCAGAGATGAGTGCATCGAGAAGGTTTTCATGTTAATTCTATAGCCTCTCCCTACCACCCTGCCCCATCCACTAAAATTGACAACTCCTTTTTGCCAGTTTAAATTAAAACTCCTCCATGGAAGCGAGGCAGTTGGCTCAGCAGTCAAGGAATACAAGGCAGCACAAACCTAATTTGTGATGAAACTAATTTCTCAAGTGCAGCTAGTCGATGCTTTTTTTGTGCAATCATTCGCAACCGGGCAGCGTTCCGCGCACCTGAATCTCGACCAGGTAGATGGGCTCCATGAGGCGGGGCGCAGCCGTCAGCATGCTCGCATACATGACGCGTCGCGCCGTCGGGATAATCTGCCCGCCGCCGCGGTGGATGGCGTCTGCATGCAGCGTCACGTCATGGATGTCGAAGCGCACTCCACGCATGTTCTCGTCGCACAGCACACCCTACCGCCGGGGGAGGGGAGCACCAGGTGGAGGGAGAATCGTTAACTTTCTCAAAGATAAAACTTAAAATGCCAACATGGACATGACCTTTGGTTACGTGATTTTTTAAAATAAAAAATACTTAAATATCTAAGCATTTTTGGTGGATCATTACATAGTTCAGTACCTAAACAGGGGATGATCAGCAACCCATTGCACATCGAAACTGCACAACCACCAGTGTGAAACGTAAATGTATATTATTGATATATTACCTTGTCTATTACACTATGTATTCTTAGTTTATCATAGTTTACACTTGCACAGAGAAAGTCATCATACAGTATGCAGGGGAAAAAATATTAAGAGTACACATGCACGAAACTATAGCCAGTCAGACGCGAATGCTTGGGCACTAACTGGTGCCTGAATGTTCAACATGGAACATACAAAAATGGGGCTTAATGGTTAAGTCTGTACATCTCAAATACGCTATGGGGAGGTACAGTACATAAAATGGGATTGGACATCAATAAGTTTAGTAGGTTATAGCACAAATCCATAAAATAGGAGTGCGAAAATCAAGGTGTGACTAATTCGATTTTCTTAAAAATATAAATTGAATGGCCTCAACTGCTCTTTAGTATTTCATTGATCAACTGAGATTCTAAACGCATAATGTGCATACATGGGGCAAAACCACAGCAACTGCTGCTCTTAAGCTTTCGCTTCAAATATTCCACTTTCAGAATATTGATTTATCAATAAGAAAAAATTCTTTGTGTAATTGAAATTCTGCACGCAATGGATTTTTTTTGTTACACAACTAACAACTAATAAAGATTCCAGACAATTGAGGGTGAGAGATTAATCAATGGAATCTTGCCCTAAATTGTGCCCATTAAACACGTATGTGTGAATGACGAGACAGCCGTCACCACACCCGATACAAACGGCTGAGGGGCAGCATAACATTGACGTTGCGTATGCAAGTAGTCAATTGCACGGCCAACATTTCACCCAAGGTGTGGGAACGACTGGAGCGCAGGGTCCCATCCACTGAAACCAAGCCATTTTTATTTTATTACGCAAGACCCAGCAAGCTCGACAGCTTTTTCATAAGCGACCAGGCCATAAATGATAGCTCAACGAAGTGTAATAATGTGGAAATGTATAGCAGCCAAATACTCTAAATTCACATTCCGAAATGTGGAGGGAAAAAACGGAAAACATGAAAACTCCATATAGGTGTCGGGATCAAACCCACAACCTCCTGTATACCAGGCTAGGTAGTTAACATCGCCACCGTCACGCCCACCCACCTCCTTCATGGCCCACTGGAAGCCAGCGACCACACTGTCCTTGATCTCATTGAGGTATTGCACTCCCTTTGTGACGTCCACGAGCATGTTGGGGCCTGTGCCATCGGGGCCGAAGCACCAGATCTTACGCGCCTCCGTCACGTCCCACTCGTACTTATCGACCAGGTAGCGGGCGCGCAACTTCAGATCTTGCCGCGCCGCCACATCACCCTTGTCGATGTCCTCGGCCAGGCCGTCGGACATGGGGCGTGCCTTCATGTACAGGCGGTTGTGCTTGTTGGGCGACTTGGACAGGCAGACCTGGTCCGACTCGTTCTCCACCGTCTCGCGATAAGAGACCACTGGGTCTGATTTCTGTGTGAGAAAGCAACGCGTAAATCGGTTTATTGTGAAAGAGGGTTTATTGCTTTTGATTGAACCAAGACGCCTAAGGACTTATGACCTAAACGCCCAGAACACTCTTGGTCTCGTCACATTGACAGACGAGCAGGATAGAGATGGCTAGTGCTTGGGTGAGTGACCACCATGCTCAAACAGCCGCTGTGGTTCTACTGTTAGAAGGCAGTGTGGGGAAACCGTCTTATTTCAATGCTTTTGTCTATGGCTCCCCATATTCACAAACTCGTACTGACCAGCGTGGTGAAATATGGTCAAATAACCACCAAGACTGGGCATGTGAACCTCATCCGGCAGCAGACTGACAAAAGGGTCGTGCATTTAGATGCAGCAAGGAGGCTGTAACAGATGCATGAATGAGCTGGTTTCTGGCAGTTGCAATCCTGCACCCCTCACCTTAATGGGGATACAGGCGTGGTCTTCCTCCAAATCCTTCAGGCAGATCTCTAAGTGCAGCTCTCCAGCACCAGCAATGATGTGCTCACCAGACTCCTCAATGATACACTGGAAAGGCACAATGAAACAAACGTTGTAAAGGATTGTTAATGGGCTGGCACATGGACAGTGTCGGCTCCGCGCTCGGTCCTAAGAGCCACCCAAACCACCTTCATAGAGTGTTC